TTCTCAACTTCTGCTGCCGTATTTTCGCTCTCTCTCTCTGTTTCTCTCAACGCTGTGGTGTGTCTGTCTGTCTTGTGTGTGGACGAAGAGGGCTGGGGCGGGGCTACTAGCTGAGCGGGTGCTTTGGTCAAGTCATTTGTGAGTGCGTGGCCGGCCTCCCCGCCTGACCACCTCGTGGCCATCGAGCAGACAGAAGGGCGGGCGAGAAAGGAGGGCATCAGCCAGCCTTTGCACACAACGGCCTGCTTTCCCCCCTCCCCCTGCTGCTTGGCTTGGCTTGGCCTAATGTTTCTCGTGTGTTGGTCTGGTCTTTTTATCAAAGGACGGATGGGTTTGGCGCCGTCTTGCCTGGCTGAGAGCCGTGCGGACTGACTCATTAATTGTGATCGATGTGTTTATTGTGTGTCATGTGTGTGTATCTATGCATTTGATCAAAGAATGGTCCACTCATGCCATGCAGCCACGGGCTCTCTCAGCGGGCCAGACCAACACAGAAATCACGTGAAACAGTCCACGCACACCACCCCGCCCTCTCTGCACACACAGCCCACCCCTGCGCACATCCGTGTGTGGGAAGGTGCCTGCCTGCCTGCTGTGCAGTCCTGCGCACGCGCATTCACGAAATTCGCAAACCCTACGCATAACTAGGGTTTAGCTGAGCACGTCAGCCGCCGCCCGGCTCCCCTGCAATGGGAAAAAGCCCTCAAAATCAGAGGGTGTTTACAGTTGCGAGCTTGAGTGGTACTAGGGGTCGCTAACGGCACATGCCCTCTCCCAAAACACAACAGCAGCAGAGAGGCTCACACACAGAGAAGCCACACACGAAGCGAGAAGCAGCCAGAAGGCGCCCCTCATGACATTTTCCTCTGTCTGTCTGCCTGTCGGCTCAGGAAGATGCTGCTGGATCTCAAGAAATCGGCCACGCCGTCAAGGGCCCTAGCAGACCTTTTCTCACCTCTTGATGAAGGTGCGATTCTGAGCTGGAGAGGCCTATATGTTATTTACTTCGACTACTTCCGGGTGATTGATACCTTTTCACCAACTCGGGATACCTTTTCACCAACTCGGGATTCTTCTCATTACCCGCACACACAACCTCATTCCCTCTGCTTGGTAAGGCCTGATAGCCCATAGTCACATTATCTTGGAACACACGCCCTCACCTTCTGGCCTGCACCTTTTAAATTTCTGCGCGTCTTTCTCAGCTGCGACCCCGCCCCCCAGTCTCTCTCTCTCTGTCTTGTGTCGCTCAAATGCGCGTGTGTGTGTGTGTGGATGGCCTTCATTCAGGTGCTCCCAAGGGCCACTACAACGCCTTTTCCTGCGGCGACGCCTTCATCGACCAGTTTGAGTCAGAGCAGGGCAGCCTCGATGAGGGCCACCAGCTGCCCAGAGACCAGCTGAGGTAAGCAAGCACCAATCAACCACAAACGTGTCACCACCACAACACACCCCAACACTCTCTGGTGCCGTCTGTCTGTGTGCAGGGAGTTCCTGCTGGTGGGTCAGAAGATTGAGATGGGTTTGCAGTGCGGCGGCTTCTGCGAGTCGGGAGCGCCCATCTTCTCGGCCAACTCAGAGGAGGTACCCTACACAGAGAGACCAGAGGATGGATGCATCAGCTGTTCTCATGTCTGTCTGTCTGTCTGTGTGTGTGGCCGCCCGCCCGCAGGAGCTGAGTGAGACCCGCCCCGGCTGCGTGCGCGAGATCGGCGAGTGGCTGCGGACCAACGACGTGGGCCACTGGGGCACCGGCCTGCTGGTCGTTGGCGTCATCATCCTGCTCAGCACCTGTGTGGCCTGCGTGAGGTGTCGGCGGCAAACCACCAATGCGGCCGCCAGCAATGGCAACCCCGATGCGCCGTATGTTGTCAATGTGTACGGCCAGGCGGCCGACCCCAAGCAGGCCGGCTACGTCAACGGCGGATCCAACGCCACCACTGCGCGGACCGACCAGCAGGGCTTTGCCTATGCCTAGACAGACGGCCGAGAGAGAGGGGGCAAGGGGCAGGGAGGGCTGGTTTGGGGCTTGTTTCTGGTTTGTGTGTGTTTCCTTGTGTATATGTTTGTTTTCTTTTTATGGAGAGGGGCAGGTCTGTCTGTGCAGCTCTGTGTGTGAAGGGGTGTGTGTGTGTGTACCATACGTGTCGTCTATGTGTGTGTGAGACACTCTGAGGTCTGACTGACGACTCGACTCCACAAAGGACAGCGAGGCCTGCCAGCGAATTGACGGCGACAATTCAGACTCACTTCTCAACTTCTGCTGCCGTATTTTCGCTCTCTCTATGTTTCTCTCAACGCTGTGGTGTCTGTCTGTCTGTCGTGTGTGTGGACGAAGAGGGCCGGGGCGGGGATACCCTGAGCGGGTGCTTTGGTCAAGTCATTCGTGAGTGCGTGGCCGGCCTCCCCGCCTCTGACCACCTCGTGGCCATCGAGCAGACAGACGGGCGAGAGGGGAGGGCAGCCAGTGTTTCCACACAACGGCCTGCCTTCCCCCCTCACCCTGCTGCTTGGCTTGGCCTAATGTTTCTCGTGTGTCGGTCTTTTTATCAAAGGCTGGATGGGCGCCGTCTTGCCTGGCTGAGAGCCGTGCGGACTGAGCCATTGTGATCGGTGTGTTTATTGTGTGTCACTCATGTGTGTGCATGTGTGTGTATCTATGCATTTGATCAAAGAATGGTCCACTCATGCCAGCCATGACCAACACAGCAATCACGTGAACCAGTCCACACACACATGAATGATGCACACACAGCCCACCCCTGCGCACATCCGTGTGTGGGAAGGTGCCTGCCTGCCTGCTGTGCAGTCCTGCGCACGCGCATTCACAAAATTCGCAAACCCTACGCATAACTAGGGTTTAGCTGAGCACGTCAGCCGCCGCCCGGCCCCCTTGCAATGGGAAAAAGCCTCATCAAAATCAGAGGGTGTTTACAGTTGCGAGCTTGAGTGGTGCTAGGGGTCGCTAACGGCACATGCCCTCTCCCAAAACACAACAGCACCAGAGAGGCTCACACACACAGAGGCCACACACGAAGCGAGAAGCAGCCACAAGGCGCCCCTCATGACATTTTCCTCTGTCTGTCTGCCTGTCGGCTCAGGAAGATGCTGCTCGATCTCAAGAAATCGGCCACGCCGTCGAAGGCCCTAGCAGAGCTTCTCTGACCTCTTGATGAAGGTGCGATTCTGAGCTGGAGAGGCCTGTATGTTATTTACTTCAACTCCTTTCAGGCGATACCCTTTTAGCAACTTGGGATTCCCCTAATGACCCGCACACACAACCTCATTACCTCTGCTTGGTAAGGCCTGTCTCCCTCTCTACTGCCTCAAGGAACCACCCAGCGGCCCAACACGTCCCCCCCCACACACACACAACACCACATTGCCCCCTCTCTCGGCCAACTAGTTGATGCCAAGTGTCACTCACTGCCCCCGCTCGTCGATGCGGCCCAGCTGCTGCCACCCACCAAACTGACAGTCGACATTACCCAAATGCTCGTTGAAGCCCTTGTTGATGGCCCCCTCCTCTATGCCGTGTCGGGCCGCCTCGTCCAGCCGGGCGATCTGCACCACCTCACGCACACCCACACGGCCCCGTGTGTGGACCACCTGGTGTGGGCGGCTGTCGGCTCTGATGGCGAAGCACTGCAGCGGCACCCGCACCGTCACGCCGCCCACATTGGCCGTCCCGCCCACTACCTCCCTGTTGCTGCTGGCATACAACGCCGACTGGATGAAGTGGTGGACGGCCGCACACACACGGCGGGCCATGTCGCTGTGCCGGATGCCGATGTTGACAGCGATGGCCTCACTGGCGGCGCCTTGGTCGAAGCACATGGCGGCGATGCGCCAGCCGATGGCCTCTGCCTCGTGTGGGCCGTATCCAGCGGGGGCGGGGGACGGACTGAACAGAGGTGTGCCGGGGGGCTGCAGCAGGTGGGGGAGGAGACTGGGGAGGGACCTCATCAGGAAGGCCGCCAGCGACCGCTGAGGGGCGAGGGCGGCATTCACGGCCGCCATGACCTCGGTGTGGATGTCGTTGAGCACTGCCGTGCACTGGGGCAGCACCAGCTGGCGATAACAACGGTCTTCGTGTGTGTCTGTGGGGATGCGGCAGATGTCTGCTTCGCTTCGCAGCAAAATGCGGACGTTCGTCTCATGAATGGGAATCTCACTGGCGGCATGGTCTCTCTCGTCTTGCTGATCGTTGACGTCTTGCGATGCCTCAGTCGATCCATAGATTCTGCGGGCGGCCACATATAGGGGCGTCTCGTTGCGGTACCGCGTCCCTCTGTCGATGTCCGCTGCTGCCACATGGCGGCAGAGGTAGTCGGTCACACAGAGAGCGCCCCAACGTGCCGCCTCGTGCAGAGGCGTTGATCCAGACCCATTTACTGCCGTCAGACTCGCCCCGTTGTCCACCAGCAGGTCCAGATACGAATCGATGAACGCCTGCGAATAGTGGCCTTGCTCCCTGTGGGCCGCGGTGTGGACCAAATCGCGTTCAATTGCGAGTGTGGCGTCGTGCTGGATGAGCCGCCGAAATATCGACAGCAACCGCTGCTCATACGCGGGGGACATCTGGATTCGGTCCCAGATGGGCCGCATGGGAAGCTGCATGACGAGGACAGGGCCACGGGGGGGGCGCACCGCAGCACCGCGCGCCAACAAGACCCTCATTGCGCTCTCATTGCCCCCACGGATAGTCATCCTGATGGGTTCGTTGTCCCAAAAGGTCGGCTCGTTCATGTCGGCGCCTCCGTCGATGAGGGCATTCAAGCTGGCCGCCTCGGCCTCAGGAGACGACCAATGAGGCAACGTGAGTGCGCAGCGTCGACCATGGATGCCGAAGTCCACTGTCGGGCGCTGCCACTCTAATTGTCGATAGCAAGCGAGAGCAGCCCATACCGCCCTATGCGATGCCGATACCCGCAGTCGCATGCCTGGCTATCCAGCATCCGCAGCCGGACCTGATGGTTCGGGTCGGCACCATTGTGGATGAGGTCCGTCACCTGCTGCTGATTAGCGAAGGTCCGACGAATAATGCCCTCAGTCAGCTGTCGGGTGGCTTTGCTGATACACAAACGACACAATCCAAGACTGCCAACATGGTGTGCCGACGGGACGTACCCTGTGCCATCCCTGTGCCGGATGTCGATGTCCTCGAGCCGCAGACAGCCGTCAGGCAGCTGGCCCTGTGCGCTGGAGGCCATCACTCACGCGGCCTGCTCACACACATCACAAGCAAAAGGCAGGTCACACAGGATGCCTCCTTCTCTCTCTGTGTGTAAACCCATTCGCACCTTATCAGTGAGTGTGTGATGCGTCGACTGTTCGTGTTCCTTGCCGTCTGTCAAGCAACACACACGTTAACAACAAGTTGCGTAACACCAAGCACACAAAGAGCCTTCACGGAACACGCAAGAGTCTTTTGTCCAATGTAGGGAGGGATAGATAGGCGGAGGGGAGAGATGGCTACGCTATCCATCCATCTATCTATCGTATCTATCCTTCCTCATTCCGCAACACCTGTGCCCTCGGCCCTCTCTGCCTCTCTTCCAGGCACCTCTTCTCTGTGAGCGGAACAGAGGTTTGTACAACGGTTGATTGGTATCTAACCTTCCGCTGCGGTGAGGTTAAAGCCGGTTTAGGTTAGGGCGTAGGGTTCCGAAAAAATGCTCTGCACGAGAAACCGCTGCTGCTCTGGACAAGCCTCAGGTAGGATGACAGGAGAGAAGCAGAGGAGCTTTGAACTTTGCGTCATTGTGTGACTGCAGAAATCTCGCATCTGAACTTCTGAATCTGAAGGGACTTGCATCATTCGGCTGCGAAGAGATCTGAGTCAGGGATTCCTCCCAATCTGTGCAGCCAGTCGCACCGTATCAGTGATTGTGTGCTTCATCACCCCGGCCTTGCCGTCAGAAGAAGGCAGCACGAGCAAGGCGGCGAAGAGGGAGCGAAGGCACACGATTTTCAACTCCGAGGGTCTCGCGGAGTGATAAGAGGACTTGCGAAGCGCCAGCCACTCCTCCCACACCCAGCCCCGCTCGCAATCTTCGCTGCCTGGTACGCGCAGCCGCACCCTTCATCTCTGGCAACGGGCAGACCTGACCTGCTTTGTCTCTCGCCTTCCCTCTGTGGGTGTCTCGGTGTGCAGATCATGAAGCTTGCCGTCGCGGTCTTCGTTGCCCTCATCGCGGCCTGCTCGGCCATCAACCCGCGCTTCATCAACCGCTACGTGCACAGGAACGCCCAGCCGGCCTTCATCGCGACGCCCGGGGGCTGCTCTCAGCTGTGCCACATGCAGCCGCTCAAGAGCCACCGCCGGCTGCCGGTGCAGACGGAGCTGGCACACAAGGTGACCCTCAAGACACCTGAGGGCGACAAGGAGATCGAGTGTGCTGACGACCAGTACATCCTCGACGCCGCCAAGGAGGCCGGCATCGAGGTCCCCTGCTCATGCAGGTGCGTGCCTGCGGCCGGCGGGGTCGCCGGTGGAGAGAGCGGGCTGTTCAAGTATGTCGACAACTCCATCATACACGGCCCGGATGCTCACCTCCCCAAGTAATTAGTGCCCAATGCTTGCTTCTTGGACGCAATCTGTTGTGTCATGTGTGTGTGCGACAGATATCCGCGTGCGGCTGACTGGTGCCTCATGTGCGGCAATGCGGTCTGTGTGTGTTTTAATGAGCGTCAGTGAAGGGCCCGGAGGGCAGATACACATTCGTCTCTCTGTGTATATGTGTGAGCCACCATCCTGACGGGGCGCTGGATGGGGTCACTGGTCGTTTCATCATCACATCTCTCTCTCTCTCTCTCTCTGTGTATATGTGTGAGCCACCATCCTCACGGGGCGCTGGATGGGGTCACTGGTCGTTTCATCATCACATCTCTCTCTCTCTCCCTCTCCCTGTATGTGTGAGCCACCATCCTCACGGGGCGCTGGATGGGGTCACTCGTCGTGCGTGTGTGCAACAGACGACGGTCCATATTTGGTGCGGGCTGCGGCACCATGGTGCTTGGGCGTCATGAGTGGTGTGCGGCAGGCGATGTGGTCCGGTGCGTGCGTGTGTGGTGTGCCTATGTCTTGCTCTGTGTCTCTAATTGCTGCCCCTCCCAAGTACATAGGTCAGAGGAGGTTATATACGCTGATATAGCTGCCTGCGTCAGTGATGTGTGCATGGCTGTTGCTGTGGACCGCCTTTTGCGTTGGCCCTGCCTTTAAATTAACCCATAACCCAAGTTGCTGAGGATCCGTGCCTACTGATTTCATTTCATTGCACACACAGGGGGTGCTTAGTTGACAGAGGGTCGGTCGATCTTTCGCTCTGCCCCCATCTATATCTCCTCTCTCTCTCTCCACATGCTTTCATATTCCTGCACTAGGAAGGCGTATTGGGCAGCATCCTGCCGCACACATCACACACACACACACCAGGGAGTATATCCCTGGGTAAGTGGGTGGCATCCTTACCACGCAGGCGCCGTAGAGGCAGCGGCATGAGTTCATATCGCCGGACTCGTCGTCTGGCGAGAGGCCACACGGTTTTCCGTTACTGGCGTCGGACGCAATCATCTCGCCGTTCTCGTCTTGAACGTAGCCACCACACGAATCAGTAATGGCAGCACAAGTGCCTGGCACACACACGCACCCACACACCGACCCATTGACGTGTGGTCCACACACTCAGACACGCCCATGCATACTCCTCACCTTCTTGACTGCCACCTTTCTTCTCCTTTTTCTTGCCAAACTCGAAGGGAGAGTCAGCGTCTTTGGCAGAGAGTGCGCCTGCCTGCCCCTCGGCGATGAGATCCATCTGCTGCTGGGCGGTGTCGAGGGTGGCGAGGGCGGTGCTGGCCAGCTGGTGGGCCGCCTCGCTGACCTTATTGGCCACCTCCATCATGGCCTTGGCCTGCTGCAGCTGCTCCTGCTGCTGCTGCTGCACGAGCGACAGCTGATGCTGACGGCCGGACGCCCCAGACCACACACTGTGAAGGGCCGTCGTGGCCGTGGTGGCGGTTCCGGTCAGCTCATGGCCGGCGGCGACGGACGGCAGGCCCCCTACACGAAAACACGTTTGCACAAGACACAAACGTACAATGCACCACAGAAACCTTCGCACAGGCCCGAAGAGACGAGCTGCAGCTCACCCACCACTCGTCTGCTGTCCGGAGACGGCAAGAGTGCCGGCGAAACAGAAGAAGAGCAACAGGCGGACCATTGCTGACTGACGAAGGGGATCGGATGGGGGATCAACAAAAAACCTTACACACGCGGCTGGACGGCTTCTCAGAGAGGGGAAGATGTCGCGAGAGGGTGGGGGCCAAATTGCGGCCAGGATCGGGACGCGCCTTTCTAATGTGCGCCAAGCTGGCCCTGCCGCCGGAAGGCTGGCATGTCCGCCTGTGGGGCCAGCCCTGCACTCACAGGGCCAGCCTTGCAGACACACGGCTGGCCTCTGCGGGACGAGCTTTGTCTCAGATGCTGCAGGGGCGTCAACCTGTGGCCATCCCAGGCACGGAATACCACCAGAATACCATCGCCGTCACAACGACGAGTGCACGATCGCAACGCGAGTCTTCCTCGTGTCGGCGGCTGCGCGACGACACGTAAATTTGGAAATTACGCTGAGATCGAGGATACGATATCGCTAGTGCTACTGCAGAAGTGCTGGCGGGTGAATAAATGAAGCCCATCTCTCTCTGTGTGCGCACACAGCATAAATTTCATTACCACGCACACAGACAGAAAAGCAAGGAGCCCAACATGACAGAATTATCGATACACACACACTTCATCGTCAAGCAGTCGACCAGATAATTCTACATAATTGCACACCCCTCTCCATCCCTCTGTCTCAGTTGATGCCGAGTGTCACCCACTGCCCCCGCTCGTCGATGCGGCCCAGCTGCTGCCACCCATCAAACTCACAGTCGGCACTGCCCCAATGCTCGTTGAAGCCCTTGTTGATAGCCCCCTCCTCTATGCCGTGTCGGGCCGCCTCGTCCAGTCGGGCCCTCTGCACCACCTCACGCACACCCACACGGCCCCGTGTGTGGACCACCTGGTGTGGGCGGCTGTCGGCCCTGAGGGCGAAGCACTGCAGCGGCATCCGCACCGTCACGCCGCCGACATCGGCCGTCCCGCCCACCACCTCCCTGTTGCTGCTGGCATACAGGGCCGACTTGACGAAGTGGTCGACGGCCGCACACACACGGCGGGCCATGTCGCTGTTGCGGACGGTGAGGGTGGCAGCGATGGTATCGTTGGCGGCGTCTTGGTCGAAGCACATGGCGGCGATGCGCCAGCTGATGGCCTCTGCCTCGTGTGGGCTGCATGAGAGGGGGAGGGGGCAGGGTCTTCGCCATCATTGTGGTCGACGAGCGGCAGCAGGTGGGTTAGCAGGGCAGCCAGCGACCGCTGAGGGGCGAGGGCGGCATTGAGAGCCGCCATCGCCCCAGTGTGGATGTCCGTGTTGAGCACTGCCGTGCACTGGGTCAGCACCAGGTTGCGACAACGGCGGTCCCCTGGCGTTGTTATGGGAAGGCGGCCGATGTCCGCCCCGCTTCGCAGCAAGCTGCGGATGGTGGCCTCGTAAAGGGGGATCTCGCCGCTGGCTCGGTTCCTGGTGTCTTGCGGTAGGTGGCCAGCTTGCGACACCCTAATCGCTCCGTCAAGGCCACTGACGGCCAAATACAGCGGTGTTTCGTTGTGCCAGCCCGTCGTCCCTCTCGTCCCTCTGTTGATGTCCGCTGCTGCCACGCGGCGGCTCAGGAAATCCGCCACATAGGGAGAGCCGGCACCTGCCGCCACGTGCAGAGGTGTCAATCCCCTATTCACTGCCGTCACGTCGGAACCGTTCTCAACCAGCAGCTCGAGATATGAGTCGATGAAGGCCTGCGAATGGGGGCGTCGCTCGTTCCGGGCGGCCATGTATATCAGATTGCCGCCGTCCCGGCTTTCTTCGGCTGCGAGTGTGGGGTCGTACTGGATGAACCGCCGGAAGATCGACAGCAGCCGCTGCTCATAGCCGGGGGACACCCGACGGCCGAATCGGTCGAAGATGGGCGTGGGCAGCTCCATGATAGGGGGCATTCCATACTGAAGCTCTTGACCTGCCGCCAAGAAGACGTTCGCGGCACTCTGATTGCCCGCACAGACCGCCATCCTGACGCTTTCGTAAGCCCCCCTCCCGTTGATGCGGGCGCCTCCGTCGATGAGGGCATTCAAGATGGCCGCCTCCAACTCAGGCGACGACCAGTGAGGCAAGGCGAGAGGCCACCAACGACCGTTGCTGTCTACAGCCTCGATGATGGCGTTGTCACTCATGTTGTCGATAGCAAGTGCAAGCAGCCGGTATGGTCGCCCAGAACCGCCGCTGCCGCGTACCCGCAGCCTGGGCCGCAGGCATGGCGCACTGTTCGGGTTTGCGCCATCGCGTCGTATGAGATCCGTCACTTGCTGCTGGTGGGTGAAGGTGCGGAAGAGGATGCCCTCAGTGAGCTGTCGGGTCTGACGAAGGACGACAAAGGGTGCAATGGATGCGTTCATGCCATCTCTCTTTCTCTGCCTCTGGGCTACCCCTACCGCATCAGTGGTGGCAAGGTGTGTAGTTTGATGCCTTATGCCTTCGTAAAAGCCGTGCCCAATCTCGATGTCGCTGAGCCGCAGACAGTCATCAGGCTGCTGGCCATGCGCGCTGGAGGCCATCACTCACGCGACCTGCTTACACGCATCACACACAAAGGCAGATCACACACGATGCCTTCTCTGTCTCTGAGTGGACCTCTTCGCACCTTATCAGTGAGTGTGTGATTCGTCGAGTCGGTCTGCCGTGCAAGCCATGCAGCAACACACACTGAGAGATCAGCGAAGGAGAGCACGATGTACTGCAAAGCAAGCAGAAACAAAACACACCGTCATAGGTTCGCCTCCCTCGACGCACCTGCTGTTGCAGTTAACACTTCAATCAGGATTGACTGGATCAGGTTTAGGTCTGACCCGGCTAGTCAACTCCTTCCTCAATGGCATCCTTCTCTCCTCCTCTCCGTATTCTCGGGTTTGGGGTTTGACGCTTAGGGTCGAGGGTTTCATGAAATGCGCTCAAGAAGGGGCTCCCGACGCCCGACCGGCCAGGCCATCAGCGGCCCCTCCCTCCTCACAGATCATGGCGAAGCGCAAGAAGGGCTTGGCGGCGTCATCGTTAGCCGCCACCCAGCAGCCTCGCCTCTTCGGCTTACCCGATGAGGTTGAGAGGGACAGCATCCTGACGCTTCTCGGTCCCGATCTGGCCATCAGCCTCGGCCGCCTCCGCCGCACGTGCAGTCACGGCAGAAAGCACGTCGATGCGGACCTCCTCGAATTGCAGATAGACAACCACCTCGCCGACAAAGGCATCCAGCACCTCATTGCCTACGACATCGGCAATGCCGGTTTGGAGTTGCGGCTTCTGTACATCATTCCGCAGGGGGGCGACTGGGCGGGGTGGGCAGCGCCCCTCATCTGCATAGCCAAGCATCGGGGGCGGGAAGTGCGGGACCTGCCGATAAGGCTCAGTCGCCGCGATGTGTCGGGTGTGGGCAGCCGCGCCCTGTTCGACGAGCGGTGCGAGGCGCTGCGGCAGCTCTCGCTCATCTGCCGGCACCTCAACCGCCGTGGCGAGGGCGACATGACGGTGAAACGCGCCTACGGCAACGAGCACGTGGGCCGCGACAAGGTGACTATCCACACGGAGGAGTCCATGGAGGAGGGCAATCCCTTCCGAGCTGCATTCGACGCGAGCGACCCCGTGTGCGAGATTACACGAGGGCTACATGAGTATGCAGGTGAGGGAAGGAGGCAAGAAGGGGCAGTGGACAGGTGGGTGGATGGATGGATGGATGGCTTGGTAGGTTGGAGTTTGCATGCACGTTGCGAGTGCTACGCTTCGCTTCGGACGTTGGCGGTGCAAAAGTAGAGGGGAGGGGGACACACACACACACACACACACACAAAAGCAGCCGGCAAACCATGTATCTGTGGTGCTGTTTGAGCCATCAGGCTGTGTTTTGGTGGTGGGCGGACGGCCAAGGTGGCGGAGGCGTTTGCATCCGCCGACTCACCCACTGAAGCGGCGCGATACGATCGCATGGTCAGTCAACCACACAGTCGCGCCTCTGCATCTCTCTCTCTCTCTCTCTCTGCCCCTTTCGTTGTGTTCAGCGGGCTCTCGCCACCCAGCAGCCGCTGGTGTGGAACCGCCACAGCGTCGGTACGAGCCGCAAGGCTGACCCCTTTGAGCGCATCATCGTACTGCACGGCGACCAGGCGGGCCATACCTTCGAGGCACACATTCTTTTCTCCACCACGCCCAGCACTGCACAGGCCGCTCTCTACACGACGGAGCGTCCAGTGGCGGGCAAGAAGGGGGCAGCGAGGTTCCCGCAGACGGTGCAAGTGGCGCTGCTCGTCATGGGGGCCGATGCAGAAGTGGTGTTTGGCGATCAGCTGGCGGTAGATGTGGACTGACACACAAACACACGCACACACATCCATCGCCCGTGTGCGGTGATGCTCCCTTTGTCTGGCCACGCCAGCACATGGCAGCAGTGAGGGGAGGTGGACGGTTGTAGCGAAAGTAGAGCCACGGCTGAATGGACAGTTGCCTGCCTGGTTGACGTATTCTATAATGTGGTGTGTACGGGTCCATTTGCTTATGTGCCACGTCAGGCCAACCAAACATGCCAAACTGTCAGACGACGCCACACACTCGCCACACACACATAACTGAGGCGCCCCTCCCTCCCTCCCTCCTGCCTGCTGCCACACGGAACCACTCAGCAGCTTGGCACGCCCCCCACCCACACACATTCAGCACACCGCACTCCCTCTCAGTCGATGCCGAGTGTCACCCACTGCCCCCGCTCGTCGATGTGGCCCAGCTGCTGCCACCCACCAAACTCACAGTCGGCATTGCGGATGGTGGCCTCGCAAAGGGGAATCTTGTGGGTGGCTTCGTCCCTGGCTCGCTGGGGTACCACCCGCCCGTCGTCCCTCTGTCGATGTCCGCTGGTGGCAGATGGCGGCAGAGGTAGTCGGTCACACAGGGAGCACCGACCTCAGCCGCCACGTGCAGAGGCGTCCAACCAACCCCATCCACTGCGGTTATGTTGGCGCCATCGTCCACCAGGAGGTCGAGATATGAGTCGATGAAAGCCTGCGTTATGTTGGATGAGCCGTCGATAGATCGACAGCAGCCGCTGCTCATAGCGGGAGGACACACGATGGCCGATTCGGTCGAAGATGCAAGTGGGCAGCTCCATGGTGTAGGAAATAACAGCGCACCACCAGGACCCTCACAGCATTCTCATTGCCATAAGAGATTGCCATCCTGATAGGTTCGCTGTCATAAAAGGTCGGCGGTGGGTTTGTGTAGGCGCCTCCGTCGATAAGGGCATTCATTATGGCCGCCTCGAGCTCAGGAGACGACCACTGAGGCAACGCGACGTACTGCCGACCAAAGACGCACGCGACGGTGGGCATGGTGTTGGCATTCACCACATTGTCGATGGCGAGAGAGAGCAGCCCATACCGCTCCCCCCGAGCGCCATGCCAACACCCGCAGTCGCAGTCATCGCTACCCCGCACACAGCTCGCGATAACGGCGGTCCTGCTCAGTGGCTGTGGGAATGCGGCTGATGTCTGCACCGCTTCTCAGCAAGCTGCGGATGGTGGCCTCGCGAAGGGGAATCTCGCTGCTGGCTTGGTCTCTGCTGTCTTGCGGGCTGTCATCGTCCTGCGACCTCTCAATCGCTCCGGCGAGACTGATGGCGGCCAAGAAAAGCGGCGTCCGGTTGGGATCGTCCGTCGTCCCTCTGTCGATGTCCGCTGGTGCAACATGGCGCCCAAGATAGTCGGCCACACAGGGAGAGCCCCAGTATGCTGCCTCGTGCAGAGCAGTCGATCCACGCCTATTGGCTGCCATCGTATCGGCCCCATTGTCCACCAGCAGCTCGAGATATGCATCGATGGCGCGCTGCGAGTAGAAGCCCAGCTCGTGCTGGGCAGCAACATGGATCAGATTGCCAAACTCCGGGTCTTGTTCGGTTGCGAGTGTGGGGTCGTGCTGGATGAGCCGCCGGTAGATCGACAGCAGCCGCTCCTCATAGGCGGGGGACACCTGGATTCGGTCAGAGATGGGGGGCGTGGGCAGCGCCAAGACTAAGGAAGGGCCATGAGGATGGCGCAACGCAGCATCCCGCGCCAAGAGAACCCTCAAGGCCTCCTCGTTTCCCAAACGGATTGCCATCTTGATGGGCCGGTCGTCCGAATAAGCCGGCTCGTTGATGTCGGCGCCTCCGTCGATGAGGGCATTCAAGATGGCCGCCTCGAGCTCAGGCGACGACCAATAAGGCAACGTGAGTGCGCAGCGTCGACCATGGACGAAGCCGAAGTCCACTGTCGGCACAGCGCTGCCATTCGAATTGTCGATGGCAAGCGAGACCAGCCGATGCCGCCCTGTACGAAAGCGATGCCGAGACCCGCAGCTGCATTCCTCGCCACTCAGCATCCGCAGCCGGACCTGATGGTTCGGGTCGGCACCATTGTGGATGAGGTCCGTCACTTTCTGCGCATCACTGAAGGTCCGACGAATAATGCCCTCAGCCAGCTGTCGGGTGGCTTCGCTGGTCTTGTCGGCCCAGTAGCCAATGTCGATGTCCTCGAGCCGCAGACAGTCAACAGACTGCTGGCCTTCCGCACTGCCAGAGGCCATCCCTAACGCGGCCTGCACACACATCACACGCAAAAGGCAGATCACACACGCGGGTTGCCTCTCTCTCTCTGTGGACCCATTCGCACCTTATTAATATCAATGAGTGTTGGTGCGTCGAGTCGGTTCTTCCTTGCCGTCAGCCCGGATGGTTACCGAGAGATCAGTGCTCAGGAGGAAGGCCACGACCAAGATGTCCTGCAAAGCACACAGAACGACGCACAATGTGTGTCATGCTTGTGATTTCAGCCCTCTTTGCCTCCCCTTCTCGCACCTCAGGTGAGGCAAAGCTCCGGACAGAGTTTATTGCGTGTGATTGACAACATCTCGGCACTCTTACCGATGCCTCACAGCGCCACCCTGTCATTCATCATTCCCCTGAGTTTAGGGTTTAAGGGTTTGAAACCCGGCAACACCTCGGCGTTTGATTTTCAGTCTGAATGGATGGATGGATCGACACGTCTCCCTCCTGGTTTGCAGGAGAATGAATCCACAGCAGTCAGCCACACCAGCCACACCACACCACACCGAGCACAAAGAGCACACAGACAGCTCACATTGAAAAGAAAAAGGTCAAAAAGAACCGACCGTAGGAAGTGGGATGGTGTTGGTGTTGGTGCTGGTGTGGATGTGTGTCATTCATTCATGAGACCGACAGATACGTACGCAGAGGGAACGATGGACGGGGAGGCGTGATCTGCCGCAAAAACTCAGTGTTGGCCTTCGTGGTGGATGGATGGATGGATGAGACGCATCAGCTCCTCCCTCGGCAAAAGAAACAAAAATGGGGCAAAACATCCACACGCGCGCACACACGACGACAGCGACAAGAAACACACCACAGCCACCTGTCCATCTCTCTCC